CTATCCTGGGATGCCCCTGGTATCCTACTTCATTTTAAATTTGTAGACAATGAAGTTTCTTAACAAAGATGTGACAAATGAACAGACATGTAACCACCACCAAGATACCATATAGAACAATGTCATCATCCTAAAACTTTCCCTGTACAGCCTCTTTCCCTTTTATACCACATTTTCTAAAATTTTTACACTGAATAGATTTACTATAGTAATGCAGGAAAAATGCAAATATATAATCACTTTTTTCTTTCTTCTTTCTTACATGCATAAAATTAATGTCTTTTGAAAAGGTAAGAATCACCACAAATGGTGGTGCATGCCTATAATTCCAGCACTCAGAAGGCAGAGGCACAAGGATTGTCCCAAGTTTAAGGTCAGCTGATCTACACAGAAAGTTCCAGGCCAGCCAAGAGTACATAGCAAGATCCTATTGCCAAAACAACAACAAACAACAACAGCAGCAGCCCCCAAAAGAAAATACGACAGGAACAAACAGAATACATTTTAGAAAATTTTATGTGAAAAGCATTAGATTTTAAGTGGGAAACTGGATATATTTGTAACACATGAAGAAAAGTCTTAACTTTTTTTAAAACAATGAACATGTCATTACAAGAAAAAGGCAACCCAATAGAAATATGGGTAAAGTTTGTGAAGAGAAAGGTCACAGAAAAAGAAATATAAATGTTCTCAAGATATAGAAGTATATGTTCAACTTCACTCATAATTCAGAAAATGTATAACAATGATCAATACCATTTCTCTGTGAAACTGGTGAAGGACATTCTTAAGTGTGACAGAACAAGGACTCACATACATGCTGATGGAAAAGCCACAGTATAGCCTCTTTGAAGGAAGCTACCTTTTGTGTCACCATTGCACCTCATGACTTTATCTTCAGAGTATATGTGCACTTGTATGCAAAACATATTATATATATATATATATATATATATATATAATGGCTGAGTGTAACTTTACCAGCAATAGTAAAAGACAAGAGGCAACCAAAAGACCCATCAAAGGATATTTCTTAAATAAATATGATACAATTGTCCAAGTAAGTATCAGGAAGCCCTTTAAAAGAATGGTGTGGGGCTGGAGAAATGGCTCAGGGGTTAAGAGCACTGGTTGCTCTTGCAGAGGACCCAGCTTTGAATGCCAGCAGCCACATGGCAGCTAACAACTGTCTGTAACTCCAGTTCCAGCGGATCTGACACTCTTCTGGCCTCACTGGGCATTGCACAACATGGGTGAACTTACATGCAGGCAACACACTTACAGACATAAAATAAAAATAATAAAGAAAATATTTTTTAAAAAAAGAATGGTGTGGGTAAGAAACCACAACCTTAGTTGAGGAACTACTGGTACCCAATAACTACTGGGGAAGGGAGAATTGGTTTCCTTTAGGGAGGTGATGCTAGATAGGTTAACCAGGCTCCAGCATACAGATGCACACTAAAAGACAAAATGGTTCAATAGGCCTTAATATATATGACAGAGTACATGAAATCAGGCAGGTGACCCTATAAAAGGACTGCAAATAGGGGAAGGGTCTAAATACGATCAAAATTGTATAAATTGGGGATCCAATGATCCAACACCCTCTTCTAACCCAAATAGAGCTAAGAACTGATCAAAGCCACTGTTGTAGAAGGTAATAATGGTGACAAACACAATCAGAATAAAAAAGTTATATATATACATATATATATTAGTATGTATCCAGAGATATGCTAAAAGTTTGCAGACACTATCTCATTTAATGTGTAGCAACAAAATTAGGCAGCTTCTATCACTGTCTAAATCTTGCAGATGTTAACATCTTGCCTCAGAGAGATGTCATAATCTATCCTAGACAAAACAGCCAGTTAGGGATGGAGCCAAGAGCTAAACCAAGTCTTCCTAATCCTGCAGTGTATAACAGTTTGCTTGAAGTCTATCTACGTGTCTCCCAAAATGGAAAGCCATTTTCTCCTGTAAAAGGTAAAGGGTTCAATAATAGTGTGAGTGTGTAAAGACAGTCACTGGTTAATGTCTGAATATAAACACCATTTTGAAAGAAAATAATTTATAAGCAGCATTTAGAACTCCTTTACAGAATCCTCTAGAGAATACTTTAAAAAGACAGCTCATAAGCAACTTAACAAGGGGTTATCTGAAATGCACTGGGCTCTGCAGAGGTGGGATGTACACTGAAAATTAAATCCACAATGGAAATGTTAATAAATGTATACACTTTTTTTAAAAGAATGGTGTGAATCCTAAGTAGAGCTGATTTTAGAAATTTCCAAACACAATTCAAAATAATAATCATAGTATACTCCTACAGTGTACTCCTATTTTAGTTTTACACACATACATACATACACACACAGACACAGGGGTGGGGAAATACACACAGAAATCATCTGGGAATATATCTAAGAAATTGCTAATAGTGACATCCCCCTGAGAATACTGAAATTGTCTTTTTTTAAGATAACTGTTCACAGCACACATGGAGGGCCCAGGTACTCCCATCGGCCACATTCTGGGGCTGAGAACTCAGAAAGGGTGGGGAGAGCCTGTCCTCCTGCCACCTGACTGTGACCTTGTGGGAGACATTCATGCTCCCTGAGTGGAGGGAAGGGAAAACCAAGAGTCCTCACTACCCTCCTGGTTGTAGAGACAAGCCCTGTCCCAGACACAGAGGGAAAGCCATCCCTACTCCCTTTGGAAGAAAAGAGGTGTCAGTTTCCCCTACCCTGAGTTCAGTTACCTGAAGTCAAATGTAATCCAGAAACAGTAAATGGAAAATTCCAGGGAGGACAGAAAAGTGATTCAGTGGGTAAAGGTGCTTGCCAGTAAGCCCAATGACCTGAGTTGGAACCCCAGGACCCACATGGTAGAAGAGAGCTAATTCCCCAAAATTGTCCTCTGATCTCCACATGCACACTCACAAGTGCACAAACAAACACACAAACACACACACACACACACACACACTAAATAAATAATAAATAAGTAAATAAAAATTTTAAAAGGTTTTAAAAGGATCATTCATTATTTAGATCCTAATTTTGGTATTTGAATTTTTATTGTTTAATAATTTCATATATGAATACAATGTATTTTGATTAAACCTACCCCTTTCCCTCCCCTCTAACTCCTTCCATACTCCTCACTTTTTTTAATATTTAATTTTTTTTAATTTTTATGGTGGCACACACCTTTAATCCCAGCACTTGGGAGCAGAGGCAGGTGGATCTCTAGGAGTTCGAGGCCAGATTGGTTTACAGAGTGAGCTCCAGGACAGCTGGGGATACAGGGAGACCCTGTCTCAAAAAGACAAAAAAATTTTTTTCTTATGTGTATGAGTGTTTTACCTGCATGTGCACCTGTGTCATGCAAAGCCTGTGGCGGTCAGAAGAGGGCTTTGGATCCCCTGGAACTGAAGTTATGGGCGGTTGTTAGCCACCATGTGGGTGCTAGGAAGCCAACCTGGGTCCTCTGGAAGGGCAGCCAGTGCTCTTAATCACAGAACCATCTCTCCACCCTCCCCCACCACCACTTTTCCCTTCCAAATTCATATTTGAAGTTTTTATTATAAGAATTACTTCTGAGGGCTGGAGAGATGGCTCAGCGGTTAAGAATACTGGTTGTTCTTGCAGAAGACCCGGGTTCGAATCCCAGCACACACATGGCAGCTAACAACTGTCCATAACTCCAGTTCCAGAGGATGTGACAGCCTCTTCTGTCCTCTGAGAGCATTGCACGACATGGGTGCACTTACCTACATACAGGAATACATGCATACACATAAAATAAAAATAATAAATAAAATATTTTTAAAAAGAGAATTACTTCTGAGAGTGTGATGACATATGTCTAATCCCAGCACTTGGGAAGTAGAGACAGGAGGACCAGAAGCTCCAGGTCATCCCGGGGGGAGGGAAGGAAAGAAGGGGAGTGGAGTAGAAGAGATGGAGGGGAGGGGATGGGAGGGGACGGAAGGGGAGGGGAGAAAAAATTACTTGTAAGACTGGGAATATGGCTCAGTCAGTTAAGTGGCTGGTTGTGAGCACAGAACCTGACTTCATTTCCAAGAACCCATGAAAGAAGCTGGGTATAGTGATGTGCTTGGAACCTCAGCACTAGAGAAACAGAGACAGGAAACTCCCTGGGGCTCCATGGACAGCCAACAATGTACCCAGCCAATTAGTGAGATCCAAGTTCAAGAAGACACCCTGTCTCCAAAAATAAGGTGAAGCAATTTTGGAAGACACACAACATCAGCCTCTGATCTCCACACACATACATACATACATACACACACACACACACACACACACACACACACACACACACACACACACACAAAATAAAGCATTTTTGTAACAAAAATGACTGATTTTTTCCTGAAAGTCTACTATATACAAAATATGTGGATTAAAAATAACATGAATGATGACTTATCTCAAGGTTTATCTCAAGAACATTCTATTAGGCCTCTCTATCACTACATTTCCTAGAGTATATTTTTCTCAGCAGTGTTACTGCATGATTAACATCAAGTTTAAATTTTCCTTCCAAAGGCACATATGGATGTACCTAAGGAAATCATCTAAACCAAACTTATTTCTTCTCAGTCGGTACTTACTATTCTTTACTTTTTTTTTTTTGGCTTTTTAAGACAAGGTCTCCCTGTAGCCCCAGCTGCCCTGGAACTCATTATGTAGACCAGGCTGGCCTCAAACTCACAGAGATCCGCCTGCCTCTGGGGTGCTGGGATTAAAGGTGTGTGCCACCACACCCGACTAGTACTTAATATTCTTATAGGTCAGAAATCACTCTTCTAGTCACAACTTGGTTTCACATTGTCTGATAAGATGCTGCTTACTTATTATCCAATGTTTCCCATCTAGCAGGAAGGCTTAAATTTTCCATACATACTGTCATTTGTCACATCTTTTTTAATGAGGTAAAAAATAGTTTTTGTAGATTTCTGGTTTTACCTGCTATCAGCTTCTCTGTATCAGGAAGGTATGTGAACTGCTTTTTGTATTCCTCATTCCTGTCTTTATAGGTGGAACTTGAAGTCTGAAGTAATAAAAAGATTAAATTGTAATATCTTAGAAAAAAATTTCAAATAGAATTTTAAAATCACATGTTTTCTGTACAACATTATGTCTTTATGAAAAAACACAGAAACATTTCAAAGACCATCAGTGGAATCGTTCTGTGATGGTGAAACAGGCCACGAAATCCAGCAGTTCTGTTGACAGAGGAAGCTAAGGCGAAGAGGGTAGAAAGCAGAAGATCAAAGTGATTTTCTGAAGTTATCCAGGCAGCATGAGGGTATGGCCCCAACTAGAACAAGCCCACTGGCAGCTTAGCAAGGAACTTGGCAGAGAATTCCACGAAGGGGGGGGCATGGCACTTGATAACCTGTCCATATATTCCTGACCAAACAAAGCTACAGATACATACAGCAGATACTAGAGACAGCCTGAGCTATCCACATTTTCCTGGCTAGAGACATAAGAGCTGTTCAGATTATATAGAAACTGGGACAAAGAAGAATGGCCTGAACTTTGACTCCATTTCCCCAGTCTCCACACAGATCTGGCATTAGAAGGGGAAAATCCTCTTTTTTGAGCACATCATTCAGTAATCATAGTCAATGCGTAGGGGAGATTCCTAGGAAGTCAGCCTTAAAAAGAAAAAAAGAATGATAATAAACTAAGCAGAGGTATTAGTGCCCACATGCCACAGGACAAACCCAGATGTACTCTAGGCAAGTTATTAAATAAACAAAATCAATGACAACCCCTTTGGGCAGTGAGAAGGCAATCAGAATCCAGAAATGCCAATGAGGTAGGAGAGTAGGTCAGAGGGAAAGGCCCACAAGTCCTTACGCAAAGCCTAACAAAGCTGGCAAATGGAATAAACAAGAGGGCAAAGAGGAAGGCTGGAACCCCCAGCTGAGGCCAACTCAAGCTGGTTCATGACATGCAGGGGGCAAAGGCACTCCAAGGTGTCCAAAAGTAACACACAGCTCATTATAATATCCAAATACACACACACCCCTGGGTAGAAATTCAAGATGATAATAAGACATACAACACATGAAGTTGTGTGTAAAACTACATGCAACAGGAAAAGCATGCATGGAAAAGCCCAATCCTTTAAATAGTGACCTAAAGCTGCTAAACTTTCTCCCCTGCTTCCTTCTTTGATAGCATATGTTTTTCTTAATAAATTCCCTCACTTTGTTTTCTACTACCTAAGTGTCCCTCTCCAATTCTTTGTTTAAGGATACAATAACTTAGAAGCCCTCTGGAAGTCCCCTCCAATCCCCAATATCACTAACATACCATCTGAACTATTCAGCTGTCAGCAAAAATTATAAAGCATGCAGAACAGGAAATAACAAAACCAACAGGCAAGAAAAACAATCTCTGATGGTTCCCAGACACTGGATTTAATAGCCTAAGACATCAAAGCAATTATCACCAAAATGTTAAGAAAACTAAAGAGAATCACACTTAAAGAACCAAAGTAAAGGCCTGCGAGATGGCTGAGGGGATATCCCAGGTAGTTTGTGACTGTCAACTTGATACAGCCTAAAGTCATTTAAGAGGAAAGCCTCAATTACTGCCTTGTCTAGATCAGACTGGCCTGTGGATTAAAAAGGCAGGTGATCCTGGGCCATATAAGAAAGTTAGCTAAGCATGAGCCAGTGAGAAAGGCAGCAACCAGCATCCTCCATGGCTTCTGCTTCAAGTTCCTACTCGACCTCCTTCCCTGACTGGACTGTGACCTGGAAGTTAAGCCAAATAAAGCTTTTCCTTTCCTACGATGCTTTTGGTCATGGTATTTGTTAAAGCAACAAAATGAAACTAGAACAGGGAGTAAAACCTGATGGCCTGAGTTTGATTCCCAGGACCTACAATGGTGGATGGAGAGAACTAACTCCCACAGGTTGTTCTCTGCCCTCTACACTCATGCTCTGGCATGTGCACCCTCTCCAACTCTTCGTTTAAGGATACAATAATTTAGAAGCCCTTTAAAAAAATAAACATTTTTAAGAATCAAAGGGACTGGAGAGATGGCTCAGTGGTTAAGAGCACTGGCTGCTCTTGCAGAGGACCTGGGTTCGAGTCCCAGGACCCACATGGTCTGTAACTCCAGTTCCAGAGGATCTGATGCCCTCTTCTGGCCTCTGCAAGCATTGCACAGCATGGGTGCACTTACATACATGCAGGCAGTACACTCATACATATAAAATAAAAATAATTTTAAAAAAGAATCAAAGTGAAGTATAAGAATCATGATCCCAAAGTAGAGCATCTAGCCAGGAGTGCTAGTGCACACCTGTAATCTTGTACTTAGAGGCTGAGGCAGAAGGATGGCAAGTTTGAGGCCTGATTAGGTTATAGAATGAAGCACTACTGAGAGAGAAAGAGAGAGAGAGAGAGAGAGAGAGAGAGAGAGAGAGGAGAGAGAGAGAGAGAGAGAGGGGGAGAGAGAGAGAAAGGTGGGGGAGCAGTGAGATGACTCAGTAAGGAAAAGCATTTGCCACCAAGTTTGACGACCTGAGTTCCCTCCCTGGAACCCACATGGTAGAAGGAGAGGACCAACTCCCTCAAGTTGTTTTTTGACCTCCACATGCTAGATATAGGCCAACCCTCTCCACACCCCCAACACACACAAAAAATAATTAAAAACAAATTTTAAATGTATTTATTTTTATTTTATGTGTATGACTGTTTTGAGGTATATAGGTGTACCAATGTGCATGCAATGCCCCCAGAGGGGGTCAGATCCCCTGGAACTAGAGTTACAGATGGTTGTTATCTGCCATGTGGGTGCTGGGAATCAAACCCAGGTCCTCTGCAAGAGCAAGCAGTGCTCTTAACTGCTGAGCCATCTCTCCAGCTCCCCCAAAACAACTGGGGGTCAGGGGGAGAAGAGGGCATCTAAAAAATGAAACTTACAAAAGTTCTCTAAAAAGAAACAAACATTCCAGAGTTTAAAACCTATGATCGCTGATTTTTTTTTTAAATCACTAGAGAAGTTCAACAGAAAGTTCAAACTGATAGAGAAAGAATTAGCAAACTCAAAGATCAGTAAAAGTTATCAGACTTGAAGAGCAGAGGACAAAAAGACTGATTAGTAGACTCTCCAGAGATTTTTAGGATAGCAAGTGGACCAAAATGCAAGTAACAGGTATATCAGAAGAAAAAATAATGTTCAAAACTTTTCACAGGCTACCAAGATGGCTCAGCAGGTACAGGTGCTTGCCTCCAACCCTAATGACCTGAGCGTGGTTCCTTGGAACCTACATAATGGAAGGAGAGAACCAACACTTGAGAGTTGTCCTCTGACCTCCACATGTATGCCATGGCATGAACATGCCCACATTCTCACACACATACAAATAAATATGTAAATAAATAAGAAATGTTTAAGGAATAAAAAATAAGTCACTTCACAGAACCAATATATGATCTGAGAAAAGTTGAAGGACACAATGCAAACATTAAAATCAACTATATTTCTATATAGTATAAATGAATATATGGACACTAAAATGGCAATTACAATACCATTTACAAAAAAAATAAAAGTACACAAGGGATGACTCCAAAGACACACACACACACATATATATATACAAAATGCTACAAAACCCTAAGAAACAAAATCCAAAGAGACAAAGAGACAGACAAAACATTCATAAATTAGAAGAGTCAAAATACTAAATATGTTAATCCTTTCCAAAGATAATACAAGTTTGATGAAGTTTATGCCACAATCCAAGCAAGATTTTTTGTAGATACAAACAGTACTATTCTAAAATTTACATGAAATTGTTCCTTTCCTGATTAGAAACACTGAGCAACAGGGCTGGAGAGAGGATTCCACTGGTAAGAACACTTGCTGCTTTCACAGGAGACCAGAGTTTAATTCCCAACACCCATATCCAGCCACTGGAACCTGTCTGTAATTCCAGCTCCAGAGGATTCCTCAGCCTCTTCTGGCCTCTATGCACATACCCCACATAGATACACATGCATGCTCATATTTTTTAAAGAAATATAAAACTGTTTACTGAGCGGCATTTACTATTGTTTGCAATAAAGTAAATAATATACAGTTGAAGAACATTCTGATACTACAAAAGTATTTTCCTGGCTTCTACTGAACCAATAATCCAAATACTGAAAGTATTGAGCCTAACAGTAAGGAATGAGTCAGGGTAGAGAAATAGCATGCAGGTCAATAATTTATATTACCAAATTTTGTTCACCCACTCCAGTCAGCAGTCCTGAATTATTAACATCTCTAACCATGATTATATTTCCATGAGCTGTCTTAGCTATTCCATGAATCACATAACCTTTTAGTGCCCAGATTTCAACTTTCTGTAAAGGAATAGCTTACTAGAAGAAACTTTCCATGTCCATTTAAATGCTATTAGCTAATTAAAACAAACCACTATTTGTCTAGTTTCCTTGTCTGAGTGGAGGAGTTGATAGCAACAAAATTTTGTAAGGAAACTACAGCATTTATGTGATGATATATATGCATTCTGATGTAGCTGCTTTTAAATTATCCAACCTAAACTGCCCAGTTAACTACAGAATCATCTATTTATTTTGAAAGGTTAGAGCTTCAGGAAAATTTTCTCTTTTAGAAAAAAAATTATTTTTATTTTTCTCTCAGATAAATTTGTAGGTACACAATTGATGTGTCATCTGTTTAGTTAAGAAACTGCCAAACTCTGTTCCACAGTGCCTGTGCTGTCTTACATCTCCACCAACACTGCGTGAGTGATGCGGTTTCTCTGGATTCTTGCCTCCTTGCTCGGGATTTTTCATTTTGTTTTAGATTTATTTTTAGTTTCCAAAATTCCACGTATGAGGCCCCCACTCCTCAAATGTGGTTGAGCTGAGGCTGCAGTCTGATGACACTGCAGGACCCTGGGCTGGGAGCATCTGAGTGGTAGCCTCTTCAAGTTGCCATTTAAAGCAACAGCCTCCAATAAAACAACATTGCAAAAATGGGAGACAGAATGAAAAAACTAAAACAGC